AAAAAAAAATTCTGCCCCCAAGGGAGTTTAATTCTATTGAGGAGAATCCTAAAAAGTCCTTTAATGTTTTCTACTTCCCATTCTTATTGAACATGGAGATCATATACAATTCCATTCATTTTTTTTAATTATTAAGCACCAACTATATACTAGTCACTAAAGGAAATAAAAAGATAAATAAGATTGGGGGGAGGGGTTATATAATAACTATATATAAGCTCTTGGTCCCTGCCTTCCAGGAGCTTATTATATATGGTTATAATTAGTAAAAATGATTACCAGAGGGTACGTGAAGCCATATGGACTTCTTTTTTCCTCCTTTAGTAATTTTTTTTAAGGGGGAGGAAAGCAAAGGGAGGAGAAAGCTGAAGACTAAATTTAGACTGATACCCTGCACAGGGAACAATTATTAGCAAATCTATTGCTTTGATCCTGGTAGTTTCTCTTTGTAGGTTAATCATTTGTGATCCCAAGCTAGACTTCATGCCTGGTTAAGAACTGTCCTTCTGACCCAATCGATTATTGACTGAGGCTCAACTCCAAGAAGAAAAGCAGGACTGTGATTCCCTTGTACTTTTGAAATGTGCACCTTCTTTCCAGAAGACAATAGATATGTAAACATGACTCTCATTAACTTATTTTCTAATACTTGTTCTTTCCAGAGACATTAACATATTCAGTCTTTATCCTTGAAAGAAAGACATAAGACTGAGGCTTCACAACACCTTCAATACCCAAAGTGGGTGTGGCTGATTCAGTTTTATAACCTGATTCATTGTCTGGAAAAGAAAAGTTTAAAAAAAAAATACTATTTTTGCATTCTCAGTATAATTAGGTTCCATGTCTGAAAAACTTCCTGCTTCCTTGAGTGGGGAATAGGGTTTTATATTCAAGTGCTCATCTGCAAAGGAAGCCACCTGCTAATGAAGGATTTCCTTTTTTTTTTTTTTTTTTTTTTTTTTAGGCAATTGAGGTTAAGTGACTTACCCAGGGTCACACAACTAGTAAGTGTCAAGTGTTTGGTCTGAGGCCAGATTTCAACTCAGGTCCTCCTGACTTCAGGACCGGTGTTCTATCCACTGCACCACCTAGCTGCCCCGAAGGATTTCTACCATACATATTTCCACACTTGGACATCACCAATATTCCCCCCCTTTTCCATTCTCTTTCTCTTCCCTCCCACCATATTTGTGTGATACTTAGGTTTATATGTAGAAAGATGTCTCTGCCTACAACACCCATAACACAAAGGCTAAGTCTTACCAGTTTACATATCATAGATAGGAATGTGGGCCAGAAAGGTGCAAGGCAATTATGCAATCACTTTGCCTTCTTTTGTCTCTTGCTCTGATTGAACTTCACTAATCCATAGCTAGATGCCATGGTGGGTTTGGAGTTATGAAGACTTGAATTCAGATGCTACTTCACACATGCCTTAGTGTATGATCTCCTCCCTTAGACTGTAGCTCCTTGAGAGCAGGCTCTGCCTTTTGCCTTTCGTTGTATCCCCCAGTGCTTAGCACAGTGCCTGGCACATAGTAGGTATGGAGTTCTGAACTGATCCAACCATTTTGGAGAGCAATTTGAAACTATGCACAAAGGGCAAAAAAATGTGCATACTCTTTGACACCCAGCAATAGCACTTCTAGGGCTGTATCCCAAAGAGATCATAAAAGTGAGAAAAGGACCCACGTGTACAAAAATATTTATAGCAGCTCTTTCTCTAGTGGCAAAGAATTAGAAATTGAGAGGATGTCCATCAATTGGGGAATGGCTGAACAAGTTGTGGTATAGGAATGTAATGGAATACTATTGTGCTATAAGAAATGATGAGCAGACAGACTTCAGAAAAACCTGGAAAGACTTGTATGGACTGATGCTGAGTGAAGTGAGCAGAACCAGGAGAATGTTGTACACAGTAACAACCACATTGTGTAATGACTAACTTTGATAGACTTAGCTCTTCTCAGAAATGCAAGGATCTAAGACATCTCCAAAAAACTCATGATGGAAAGTGCTATCCACATCCAGAGAAAGAACTATGGAGTCTGAATGCAGATTGAAGCACGCTATTAGCTTTTTTTTCTTCTGTTTTGTTTTGTTTCTTCTTTCTTATGATTCCTCCTATTTCTTATAATTTTTCTTTACAACATGACTAATGTGAAAACATGCTTAATAGAAACGTATATATAGAGCCTATATCAAATTGCATGCCACTTTGAGGAGGAAGAAAGGTAGGGAGGGTGAGAAAATTTAAAACTCAAAAGCTTATGGAAGTGAATGTGGAAAACTAAAAATAATTAACTAATTTAAATTTTTTTTAAAAAAGAAATTCTTTTTAAAAAAGAAATTCTAGTTGACTGGCTGACTGATTGACTGCATGATTCTGGGTTAGTCACTTAACCATTTTCAACCTTAGTTTCCTCACCTGTAAAATGAGAGGGCTTGAACTCAGTGATCTCTAAGATTCCTTCCAGCCCTAAATTGATGATTCTATGATCATTTGCATGGCAAAGAGGTTCTTCTAGGCTGGTCTTTATAATCCTAGCCTCCACATAATTCCTCTGGGGCTTTTTTTTTTTTGGCAGTCTAAAAAGGATCTTGAGGGCACACAATCACCATAAAGAGAGAACTAGAAGTTAGTAGCAATCTTCTAATTCTCAGTCACATGGGACCACGGACCTTGAACCAGCACCAAACACAGGCAGTCAAAAAATAGACTCAGTCTTGGCCTAGGGCATTCTAACATGCTTTTGTAAGCTGCCTGGATTGAGGGTGGTAGTTCATTGCACTAAAGAGTTCAATCTACCCTTGTCAGGGAGAGGCTTTCTTGCTACCACTCCTTATAGATGGTAGCAGAGTTCAAGAGCTCAATGACCAGTGATGTCTAGAAAAGATCACACAATGCCTAGAGGAGATGCAACATCTACCCAGAGACAATGCAGTCAATGGAGAACAGAGACATGATGCTCATCAGAGAGCAACAGAGTCTACGAAGATATCCCCTAACAACAATGGCAATCCTATAGTAGCAAAGGTTTGAGTTTCCCTGGCATATATCCCTCTGTGTGTGTGTGTGTGTGTGTGTGTGTGTGTGTGTGTGTGTGTGTGTGTGTGTGTGTGTGTTCCTCATTTATGTCCCAACCATATGAGTTTCTGGTGTGTGCCTCTCTTAACATGTTCCATGGTTATACATATTCCTTACAGATGTACCCTAAATATGTATTCCTAGTCATATGTGTTCTCTGTCAAATGAGATCAGCACAGTGCCTGGCACATTGTAGGTATTATAGAAATTTTTATGCCCTTCCCTTCAATATGTGTGCCCTCTTGCACTGGTAAGGTAGTAAGCTCTGGGAATATCACTGTATTTGCATTCTGTTTCAATCTCTTTTGCTTTGAACTAGTGAACTCTGTCTGTCAGATAAAAATAAACACATCAGTTAGAACTCAGGGAGCTATGGTTTTGAGTGGGTGTCCTGACCCACAAAGTACCTGAAACTTGGAATATCTTTTTCTGGGATCATTTGTGTGAGAAGGGGTGCCCAAGTGCTACATGTATTTATATAAATATAACAAATGTACATAACAGAGGAGGGGGGCTCCCCAGGGATATCTCATAATTTAACAAGAACCATATGAGCAGGCATCTTGTTTACCAACTGCCAAATGCTCACTCAGGTCATCCAGAGTTCTTAAAAACCCGATCTACAACTCCAAGAACACATAATGAGGTGTTAAGTACACTTTGCAAGCCATGAGAAACCAGAAGACAATAAGTAAGAGGCACTATTTACCCTAAAGGACATCACATATTGAATATGAGGTAAATGCAGATATAATGCTTTATTGGATTCTCATATAGTTACACAGATTCGTTGTCCCAGAACCCCAGTAAAATACAAGTCATAGTTGTTGGTCACTAGTCATTAAAACTAACAGACTACTCATAAGATCATATACTACTATTCCATTGAGAGTTGAAAAGGCCAGCTAGTCTAATCTATACCTGGAAAAAAATTATCTCTGTAACATTCCCAGTCAAAGCAAAAGTGTGGGCCAGGGGGAAAGGTACAGTGGTGAGGAGTATTGTATCTGGAGTCAAAGGACCGCAGTTCAAATCTTGACTCTATTACTTGCTACTTCCGTGACCTTGGACAAGTCACTGAATTGATATCTAATGGCTCTCAGTTCTAAATCTACTATCCTATTTTTCTGTTTTGGGACTGGATCTCTGGATCTCACCCAGGCTTGATCCCACTGAAAATCAGCACAGAAGCTTTGACCCCCTCCATTTCCAACCTAGGTTAGTTCACCACTCCTTGGGGAGCCTGGTAGCGCCTCCCTCCCAGAAAGCTCACCATATTGGTACTGAACTTAATTCAGATACCCAATCGACTGGAGCCCTACTGCAGCTCAGAACCCTTGAGCTTGAGTGATCCACCAGCCTCAGTCATCCCAAAAGCAAGAATTACACGTGTGTGCCATCACACCCAGCCAAAATCCACTATCCTAAGTGATCTGTTAGCCTATGTTTGAAGACCTATATACCTTCTTTTAGTTGTTACATATTTTTAAAAGGAGCACTTCAGGAAATTCATCTATTAAAATCAGTAACCCCAAACCAATTCCGTTCAATAAACATTTTTTAAGATCCTACTCTGTGCAAGTCCTTGTCCTAGGACCCTGGAGGTACAAAGTTATACAATCTCATGGGAAAATAAGATACAAACAGATATAAGAATTCCATAAGGCATAAGATGAGTCCAGACTCTGAGAAATATGCAAAAGAAAATGCTGCTTTCAGATGCTTGACAAGATCAGAAAAGGTTTTATTAAGGAAGCAACATCTCAACTGGGGCTTGAAAGAAGAAAAAGGTTTCAAAAGAGAAAATATGAACGGAGCATAACAGAAGAACAAGGAAGATAAGAGAAACTATGTTTATCTGGTCAACATTCCCCCTGTAAAGCAGACCACTCAAGATCCAGGAGAAACTCACCCTTTAGTTTAAGGTCAACGTTGCGTCTTAGCCAAGGATAGATTCCATAGCTTGGCATATCTTCTGGAATTGGATTATCATTTATCCAGCCATCACAGGCAAACTGGAAAAAGTTTTCACAAGGATCCACAGACTGATTTATTTTGCTCAAGATGGCAGCCGCTATAAATTTTAAATAAATAGATAAATTACAAGTTTAGCATTATTAGATGTTATATAATATTTTTCACAAAAATACATATTTTAAATCAGCCAGTGTTTCTATGCTGAACTTTTACTCTCTCAGTGAGAATGAACTTCATTGTATTTAATTACTCCATTCTAGTGTGTCTGGATACTGTAAAGACTGAGTACAGGTTTGGTGGTGATATTTTCATTGCCATTATTTTTGTTACTGTTACTGAAATTTTTGGAGTATTAGTCTGATAAACCAGCAATAAGATAATTAACAGTAACTGACGTTCTCTTACTAATACTAAAAACAAAGAGACCACATAGTATCATGGACAGAGTCAAGAAGTTCTAGGTTCAAGTCTTTTCTGTGATACATACTAGCTGTCTGACTATGAGTAATTCCCACACTCTCTCGGTGCCCCCAGACAAGTCTTGAAGATTATAAGTAGGAGATGAATTGCAATTTGCCTTTGTGTGAGAGTTTCCACAACAAGAGTTTTCTATATTGAGGAAGTCACAGCTTTGTATACATACACACAGATATACATACCCACACATACACAAATGCCCATATATACAATCCTATAAGCAGGTATAGAAAAAAGTCCAAATGTAACCTCTACGTGTTTATTGATGTACATGACTACAGCTCCCAACACCACTGCCCTCCAAAAGATTCCACTACATAATTCTTCAGATCCTAAGTTTGAATTCTAAATCATTCTTTTGGTTTGTTTGTTTAACCTGGCTCTCCATAGGCAGCTAGGTAGAAAAGCAGATAGAGCACTGGATTTGGAGACAGGAAGACAAGTTCAAATCTGGCCTGAGACACTTACTAGTTGTGTGACCCTGGGCAAATCACTTAACCTTTGCTTGCCTCAGTTTTCTTAACTGTAAAATGGAGATGATAATAGCACCTCCCTCACAGGGTTATTGTAAGGATCAAATGACACAAAATTTGTGAAGCACTTAGCACAGTGCCTAGCACATAGTAGGCACCATATAAATAATTATTCCCTTCCCTTCCCATTTCACCCAGGTGGTGAGTGTGGTCATCACTCAAGCAACTAATGCCACTGCTGATCGGCATGGAAGCTTTGGCCTGCTCCATTTCTGATCTGGGCCAGTTCACACCTCCTTAGGCAGTCTGGTGACCCTTTATTCCCAGAGACTCACTATATTGGTGCAAGACTTAGTAGGGACATTTGATTAGCTTTGGGCCTATTTCAGCTCAAAATTCTAGAGCTCAAATGATCCACCAGCTTCAACTTCCCCTAGTAGTAGGGATTACAGATATGTACCACCATAGCCACTGCTCCAGCTCTATCTGACAGCATAGTTATTGGACACAAATCTGCTTTAAATATATGTACTCATAAACTACAAAGATAGATACTATTTTAGGGCATTTGAAACTATTCTTGTCTAGTACTGGAAGTTATTTCTATTTTAACTAATGAAAAACCATTGGTTTTCAGCTGAAGATGAATGGATTTGAGAAAAATGAAAGGTCTGTCTCAATTTAGGTAAACGTCTTAGAGTTCAGTTGCTTAAGTGACCTGTCCAGTTTGTAAAATGAGATTTTAAAAGACCTCTAGTCAAAAATTCTAATTCAATTAATGTCTACAGACATTTATTAAAAATGTGCTATGTTAGGTATGGAATATACAAAGACAAAAGTAAGTTCCCTCAAGGAAGTTACTTATTGATGAAGGCCCGAACTAGACTGATGGTGAGAATAGATATTTGTTTTTGTTTCTGTTTTTCTCTTTATATCTCCAGGGCCTCTCACTGTGTCATGTATATAGTAGGTGCTTAGTACATGTGAGTCGAAGTTGAAATTGAAGTTAAATATGAATGGAGAGAAGAGGATAGATATGAGACATAGACATAGAATCAGTAGGATTTGACAACAGATTGGATGGAAAAGTTGAAGATAACTCAAATGTTTCCAATCTTGTTAACTTAGGGTTAGGACAGAACAGATGGTAGTACTGTCAGCAGAAAAAGGGAAATTTGAAGAAAAGATAAGTATAGGAGAGAAAGGTGATGAGTTCAGTTTGGTACATGATAAGTTTGAGGTGTTGGCAGGAAAGGTATGGATTCAAACTACATATACATACATTTGGAAATCACTGCACAGAAGTGGTAACTGGACTCTTAGGAGTTGATGAAATCATTAAGAAGTCAAAAATAAGAAGAAAGAAGTTGAGAAAAGATTGAAAAGAAAGTCAAGACAAGAAGCATTTATTAAGTGCCTACTTCGTGCCAGGCAATGTGCTAAGTGCTGTAAATACAAAGAAAAGCAAAAAAACAAACAAGCAAAAATCATTTCCTGCTCTCAGGGTGTTTATACTCTAATGAGGGAGACAACATTTAAACAACTATACAAACAAGCTAGGTACAAGATAACTTAGAAGTCATCTCAGAGGGAAAGAGAATCAGGAAACATTCTTGCAGAAGGTGGAATTTTAGCTAAGCCCTAAAGAAAGTCAGAAGGGAAGAGAAGCCAGAAAATGATGACGAGGTAGAGCATCCTGGGAATGGAGATCATCCAATGAAAATTCCTGAAGTCAGGAGATGTAATGCCTTGTGTGAGAAATAGCAAAGAGGCCAGTATCACTGAATCACAGAGTACATGGAGGAAAATAAGGAATAAGAAAACTGCACAGATAGGAAAGGGCCAGATTTTGAAGGACTTTACAGGTCAAACAGGATTTTATATTTGATTCTGGAGACAATAGGAAGCTACTGGAGCTTATGGCATGAGGGAGGAACATAGCCAGACCTGTGCTTTAGGAAGATCAGCTTGACAACTAAGTGGAGGATAGACTGGAATGGGGAGAGACTCAAGGCAGTGAAACCAAGAAACAGCCTTTTACAATAGTGCTGACATGAGGTAACAAGGGTTTGCACTAAAGTAGTGGCAGTGTCAGAGGAAACAAGGAGGAACATATGGAAGATATTATCAAAAATAAAATCAATAGGACTTGAGAACAGATTGGATAAGGGGGGATGAGAAAGAGTGAGGAGTTGAGGATAATACCTAGGTTGTAAGCTTGGGTGTCAAGGAAGATGAGAGAGATGGGGGGCAGGGGAGAAATAATGAGTTCAGCTCTGGAAGGAGGGGAGGAGGAGAAGCAAATAATTTACAGGGTGGAAAGTTACAGAGAAGTCAAAGATAATAACTACCAAAAGGCCATCAAATGTATGAATTAAGAGATCATTGGTAACCTCTAAGAAAGCAATTTCAATAGAGTTCTAGAGTTGGAATCCAGATTATAAAAAGTTGAAGCATGAAAGGTAAGGAAGACTTTCACTCAGCAAGCATATATTAAACACTTCCTTGTGCTAGACATTGTGTCAAGTACTGAAAATAAAAAGAGGGAAAAAAATAGTTCGTGCCCTTGATGAGTTTACATTCTAATGGAGGGAATGAGGGTGGGAGTGGGAAGAAGGGAAAGAAGACAACATATAAAAAACTAGGTACATAAAAGATCCCCAAAATAGTTGGAAGATAATCCAAGAGGGGAAGAAACCAAGACTAGGAAAGAGCTCCTGCAGAAGATAGGATTGGAGCTCAGTCTTGTAGGAAACCAAGGAAACTAGGCTAAGAACACGAGGGACAGCCAGTGCCAAGGCATAGAAACAGTAGATGGCAATGTCATGTTCAAAGAAGAGCAAGCAGACAAGTTCAGCTGCTCTGCAGCATGTGTGAAGAAGAGTAACATAAGAAAACAAAAAATGCAGGAAGGAGCCAGATTCTGAAAAGTTTTAAATGCCAAAGAAAGGACTTTATATTTGATCCTGGAAGTACTAGTGAGCCACTGGAGTTCACTGAATGATAGAGTCAGAAGAATGCTTTAGAAAAATCAGTTTGGATGCTGAGTGAAGTGAGTAGAACCAGGAGAATAATATACATGGTAACAGCAACACTGTGTAATGATCAACCATGATTGACTTAGCTCTTCTCAGCAACACGATGATCCGAGACAATTCCAAAAGACTCATGATAGAAAATACTATCCCCATCCAGAGAAAGAACTATGGAGTCTAACTGCAGATCAAAGCATACAATTTAACTTTTTTTGGTGGTTTTTCCCTTTTGTTCTGTTTCTTCTTTCACAACATGAGTAATGTGGAAATATGTTTATATGATTGCACATGTATAACCTATATCAGAATGCTTGCCATCTTGGAGAGGAGGGGATGGGAAGGAGGGAAGGAGAAAAAATTTGGAACTCAAAAATCTCATAAAAAGTCATTGTTGACAACTGTCTTTACATATAATTGGGGATGGGGTGGGGAATAGTATTTTAATACTATTTACCAAAAAAAAGAAAAATCAGTTTGGCAGATGAGTGGAAAATGGATTGGGATGGGAAAAGATTTAAGGCAAGGAGACTTTTCAAATTTTTTATTTATTTTATTTTTAATTTATGGAATAAAACAAGCATTTCCATAACAGTATAATTAATAAAAAGATTGTATATGAAACTGCATGTCTATTATGTGCAACTTGCTATTCTTTTTAAGTATATAATAAAGTTATCATGTAAATTTTTTCTTTTTTTTTCTTCCTTCTTACCCCTTACCCGCTGCACCCACCTCCTCCTGCCCTAGAGATGACTACCATTAGATACAATGGAGGGAGACTTTTGCAATACTACAGGTGAGAAGTAGGGAGAATCTGAACTAGCAGTGTAGCCATGGGAAAGGAGAGAAGGAGGCATATATGAAAGACATGAAGGGAGAAACAAACAAGATTTGTCAACTGATTGGATATACAGAATGAGTTAGAGTGAGAAATCAAAGTCAACACTGAGGTTGTGGGCCTGGATGACTACAAAGGTTAATGATACCTTTGATAGTTATATTGAAGTTCAGGAGTATTTAGAGAGAAAGTTCTATTCTGGACACATTGAGCTTGAGAGACCTACAGGACATCTAGTTTGATGTGCCCAAAAAGTAATTTTTTATGTGGGACT